CTCACTCCCAAGGCGAAAGAAGGACTCAGTGGAGAGCCATCCAACCTGGGTGGATGATACTCGAATTGATGCAGATGACATTGTGGAGAAGATAATGCAGAGCCAGGACTTCACTGATGGCAGCAATACTGAGGGTGAGCTTCCCACTTCCAACCAGCTGGGGTGATGATGGTCTCCAGAGGCTACCCCTGCCAGCTCAGCCTCTGTCCTCCATTGTGTCCCCACAGACAGTAACCTTCGGCTGTTCGTGAGCCGTGATGGCTCCACCACATTGAGTGGCATTCAGCTGGCCAACAGGTAGGGGCTGGGGATGGGGAGGTGTGGTAAGGCAGCCACCAGGACCCCCTTTGAACACCCGTTTTATCACCGATGACCTTGAGCCCACCCATCCCCAGAGTCTGTGTCTTCAAAGTTCTTCTCCCACAGGCCTTTGTGCTAATAACTCCAGTATTTCTGGCCTTCCAGACCTTTGAGCCAGTGAGTGAGGGTAGTGTCCAGAATACAGGGCTATCCTAGGTCTTTCCCTTGAGTTCCTGGGAGCTAAGAACATGTACTTTGAATTTCTGGATCCAGAGCCCAAAAAAACTTTGTGAAGAGGGTGTCTTGTGCTATTCTGGTGACCCCTGTTGACTGAGGCTAGAAATTACAACTATTCTCTCAACAGCAGTCCCTCTGGGCTGCCCTGGGTGGAAGTACAAGAAACCACTGGGACCTCCTTACAAAGGTGATAAAGACTCCTCTTCCTTAGAGCACTTGCAAAATGAGAAGCTAAGATTTGGAGATTGGAGGAGAGAAACCTGGTTTCTACAAGACTTAAGCAATGAAAAGAGTAGATGCAGCCCCTTAACTTTTTCTTGCCTTCTTAACAAATCTTACAGTCCCTCCTTGCCAGGGTGGTACATCCAGGTGTGTGCACACTTGATGTCCAGAGGGGATCAGGCACAGCTATGGACCCCACTGACCCTGAGCAAATGACTAAATGTTTCTGGGGCTGTCGGTTTCAGCCAGTCTGTAAGAGACTGGTAGCTGTGATTGTATGGGAAGTACCCACAGGGACCTGGCCCAGGGGGAGTGCTCAGTCACTGGACTATCAAAGGGAATAAGCTCACCTTTCTCTCCCCTGCAGAGTCTCCTCTGGAGTCTATGAGCCAGTGGTGATTGAAAGCCATTGAGGGACCAAGTGGCCAGCTGAAGAAGGACCCTGCCATCTCTGCCACCCAGTCCAGCGGCATTCCTGGAGGAGCAGGAACCTGCCCTTCGGATCTGCTCTGCATTGCATCTGTGCCTCCCGTACTCTAACCACACCAGCCCCCAAAGCATCATTCCATTGTCCTTCCATCCACCCTGGAACCACTGGTCCTGGGTGCCACTGTGAATATTGTCCTCTGAACCATTAGAAAACGGGGCAAGATGGAGCTGGCCAGGACTGCCCAGAGTAGAGAGGACCTGGGCCACTCCTTCATGTTGGGGTGCTTGTGGCTGCCTCCCCCCCAGACCCACTTCCTTCAGGAGCAACAGCTTCAGCCAGGCTAACAAGGCTCTTGCTCCTTTGCCCTTGCCCTTCAGGAGCTGGACCACCCCCAGCTCCTGCCACCTTTGACCCTCTGCTTAGTGCTTCAGCTGTCCTTCTCTATATCCTGAGGAGACCTGCTGGCAGCCTTCTCCTAGGAGCCAAGACCTCAGACCCCACCTCCCTCATCAAATGTTCTGCTGCCCTGCAGCCTGCACTTTGCACATACTTGTCCCCAGCACAGCCGCTGACCCTTGCCCTTCTCCAGGATTCCTGGGTGCTGTCTGCTGTGCAACCAAACCCAGGGTACAGTAGCCCGGCTGGAACGTGGCACTGCCCCCTCCCTCTAATTATCCCCAGCTCAGACCCAAGACTAGAGCCTAGAAAGGTCTGAGCATCGTGGTGCCATCTGCCCAGGGCTGGGTCCTGAGCAGCTGGCCTTCCTGCAGGAAAGGAAGGGTGGGGCCCAGCTGTGCTGGGTAAGCAAAGGCCTTTTCCTCTGCTCTCATGTCAGCAGGCCTGGGCTGGGTTCCAGGCTGCAGAGGCAGTCAGCCAGGTGGGCTGTGACTGGATGGACTGGATCTGGCTTATTGCCAGGCAAGCCTCAGCCTTCCTCTGGGCAAGGGGCATGCTTTCCCTGGGGAGTCTGGCCTGTGTTCTGCCCAGGCCTCCCCCTTACTACCCACCTTCTTGGTACCTCCCCAGCCCCAGCCCTTTGTCTGTCCTGTAATTTGCTTAAAGGAGGGTACTGGCTGCCAGTCAGCCCTGGATAAACTCCCACCCCTTTAAGCTGCTCTCATTTTGTATCAACCCAGCAGGCTGGCGTTTCCTTAGCCCTATTTAGTGTTTTCCTTTTCCTCCTGAGTTCACAGTTCTGTATTCTCTCCTCCCCCAGTAAGGGGAGGTAGGTGCCTCTGTTCACCACTCCACCTGCATCTCAGCAGGGCTGGGGGCAGGGGGTATGGGACACCGGTTCTATGGGTGGGGGATAGCTGGACTCCCCAGGTCAGGGGGTTCCTTGCCCAGTTTCTGTCTTCCTTAGCTAGCAAGTTGGGGCTGTGGTTTTAGAACTCCCTGGTGTTAGGACCAGAGCATTTCTAGGGATTTTTGTTGCCATTGTTTTAAACACCTGGTGGCTCTTGGAAAGTGAATGTTAGAAGGTGCTACCTGAGCAGGGCAGAGCAAGGCTAGAGAAGGTTCTGCTCAGCTCAGAGAGTCCTTTCTTTCCCAGCAGGTACCTGGCATCTAAGGGATGCTGTCAGCTCTGTTTTTAGGTGAGGTGACCCCTACAGGATGGAGATAGCACTACACTTGCTTGTCTGTGACTTTGCCCAGTCAATTATTTTGATCTGGTTCAGAATTCCGGGGCTCCCACACAAGGCAGTTGGTACTATCAGGAAAAACTCCTCCAAACCAGGAGCCCAGCCCAACGCAAGCCAAGGTGTGAACCAGATGGTCACTCCTGCCACACCCGCCAGTTCTAGGCACTGTGCTGAAAACAGCCACAACCAAATAAACATTGGCAGGAGCTATAGACTAAGAGCCTATCTCCCGCCTAAGGGTCCTCTTGAGCTCAGTGATTCCCACAGGGTGCCTAGAGCACCTGGACTTCAAATTCTATATACAGAGATAGGATATATTAAGAGATATTTTTGGAAAGGAATTGGTCTATGCAATGCCAGTTTGGAACCCTCGAGAAAGACAGTTTTAATGTTTTTACTAGGAAGATATAAAGATCCACAATATTTTTAGGGTTCTTTTCTGGCTACCCCCACAACTGATCACACTGCATGGCCTGGCAGGAAGAGGAAGGTGGATCTTCCCCTGTGGCCTGCCGGGTGACTGACTGGGGAGGAGTGTTCGCTTTGTTTTACTCCCTCCTTTCTAACAATGTTACCGCTGCTCCCCATTCCATGGGCTGTTAGTATCTTGTCTCAGCTTACAGTAGAATATAAATGTCATACAGGGAAAGCAGCCTAGTGTCCGTGGTTGTTGGGGGGGGGATTAAATGATGTTTTTGTTACCTGTTTTGTTGGTGGTTTTTTTTTGTTGTTAAATTGTCTCATTACCGTGTTCCATGTTCTCTTGGGGACCAAAACAACAGAAGGGGGGTGTGGGTGTGTGTGTGTGTTAAAGTTTAGGAGGCCAAGGTTTTCCAGTGCTGCCCCCAGTCATAATCCTCACACCCTCAAAAACAAGAAACACCCCCCATCCCTCCCAACTGGGTTTCTCTTTGTAGCCCTGGCTGTCCTTGACCTCAGAGATCCACCTGCCTCTATTTTCTGCGTGGTAGGGTTAAAGGCCTGTGCTACCACCACCTGGCTATGTTCTCTGACCTTTGCACATGTCCTCTCCCCACAAATAGAACTGAAAACTTGGAGGGGAGGGGAAGCTGGCTGGGCTCGCCTTTAATCCCAGCCCTGGAGAGGCAGAAACGGATGGATCTCTGCAAGGTCAAGACCAGCCATGGTGGTCTACAGAATGAATTCCAGGCAGGATAAGCTTCGGAGAAATCCTGTCTCAAAAAAAAAAAAAAACAAGCTGGGGCTGGAGAGGTTAAGGGCACCAACTGCTCTTCCAGAGGTCCTGAGTTCAATTCCCAGCAACCACATGGTGGCTCACAACCATCTGTAATGAGATCTGGTGCCCTCTTCTGTAGACACATATACATGGAAGCAGAATGTACTCTGGAGGCAGAGCAGGTGCATCTCTGAATTCGAGGACAGCCTGGTCTACAAAAAAAGTTCCAGGACAGTCCAGGGCTATTACACAGAGAAACCCTGCCTTGAGAAACAAAAAAACTGCTTTGGTATGGAGAACCACTCTGTCCTGGGGATTTACCCACTGCTTAGGCACCCTGGGCTTGGGGTTCTAATCATCAAAGAAAGGGGGGGGGGTCAGAGGGCACAAAGAATGAAGGAGCTGCTGCCTCAGGTAGACACTCAGAAACCCAGAAGTGGGCAATAAGGGAAGGAAGTAGTCAGCCAGTCTGAGAGTGTCATTCCCTCTCTGCCAATGGAACTCTTCCTCATCGTGCTTGCTTGTCTGACCCCACCTCTCTTAGGCCAGTGGTGATCATTCTACGACCCATTCCACCAACAATTTTAGGACCAGGAAACAAGCATTAAATCCTGGTGTCTGTTTCTCTGTCCGTCTCTGAGCCTCACTTTTCCTACGTGAAGTTTAAAAGAGGGCTTTCAACCTTGGAATGCATGTCGCTCTGGCTTGGGACTGTATGATGTTTAAAAGAGGATTATTTGGGGAGGGTCTGACAGTGCTGTAGTCACAAAGACCAGGAAGTCTGAGTCTTCAGCCACACAGCTGCCTTCAGAAACTACATTTCCCGACATGCAAAGTGGGTGGGGAAACGTGCCCAGAACGTCCATCTTGGCCTGGTCCAAGAACTACAACTCCCGGAGTGCCACTCTCGATTTACAAGTAGGAAAGTCTTCTTACCGGATGTGTCAATTAGGAACCGGATGTGTCCTGTTGCTCCAGCGAAACGCTGGGGAGATGGTGAGCTCGGGGTGCAGTACCTCTGTGATTTGGGGATACCAGGGGTCCGGCTCGGAGTTTCCTTTGGAGTTGGGGGTTGGGCTTTCCGAATCCGGATTGCTTACCCGACCACTTTGCGGACAGGTGACACGGGGCTCCGCGCGGTTTGCTAGTCAGCCCCCGTGTACAGCTGTTGAATGAACGAGGAGCTTGGAGTGTAAACTGGCGGCGCGGACCCTCCATTAGTGCACTCCACGTAGAGTCGCCTCACCAGCTGAGCCTTCCTTTTTCTCCAGGCCACCGGGACAGACCAAGTGGTGGGATTTGGCCTCGTCGCTGTTAGCCTGATCATCTTCACCTACTACACCACTTGGGTGATTCTTTTGGTATGTGTCCTCCCCCACCCCACCCAAGCCCACGTTTATCCTGCCCCGGATCTCTTAACAAACCGACTGCTAACACAACTTAAGCAGCATCTACATGCCAGGCACTGTGCTGGATGCTTGGCCTGCCCTAATTTCGCGAAATCCACTGTGATTGTTGATGGTGTCTGCATTTTATAGATGAGGCTGAGATCCGGGCAGAATGGTAAGGCTCAGACTCAACTGCTGCACTGTAAGGTTAGCCAGCTCCTCCTGGGTGTAGCAATCGCCCGTGGATTTTACTAATACCTTGAGGCTTTCTCTTTTTTAGTTGTGAAAAGGTCTGTTAGTTATTGCTTAGAAGTGCATTGTGTTTGAAAGCAGGTATCTTGCAGTACTTGGTATCCTTTAGAGAGAAAAGTTAGGAGGGCTGGAGAGATAGCTAGCACAGCGGTTAAGAGCAGTTGGCTGCTCCTCCAGAGGATCAGGGTTCAAGTCCCAGCACCAACATGGCCACTTCCAGGAGATCCAGCAAAAGTGCCTGGCACACCAGTGCTGCTTAAGTGTTAGGAGTTGCATTGGAGATTCAGGGCTTGGATGAGGTACATCTTGCTCGCATGTGCACATAATCAAAAAATGAAATAATTTAAAAAGACCTAGAATTTCTGGATTCAGAAGACAGGAAGGTGGGTCTTTGTGAGCCCAGCCTGGTCTACATAGCAGTTCCAGGTGAGCCAGGGCTATGTCATGAGACCCTGCCTCAGAAAACAAAAGGAATGGTTTCCAGTACTCAGAAGGCTAAGGCAGTAGTTCAAGGCTACCTGACATAGTCAAAATACATACCCACACCCAGAGGCACGGAGGTTGGGAACCTCGTAGGTTGTTTGCTAAGCTCGGGATGCCGTCGGGCAGGTCCTCAGGACCCAGTGCTGTTAATGGGTTTAGCCCCTTGGACAGAGGAGGTGGGATGGCCTCTCATTGGGCTGGGTAAAATGAGCAGTACTCACCAGAGCTCTTGCCCTCGGTGCCAGCCCTTCATTGACAGCCAGCATGTCATCCACAAATACTTCCTGCCTCGTGCCTACGCTGTCCTCATCCCGCTGGCCACGGGCCTCCTGCTGCTCCTATTTGTGGGTAAGTCTCCCATTCTCCAAAAGTCTCCTGACTGGGGGGCAAGATGTCTGGAAGGCCAGCCACTCTCACCCCAAGTGTGCGTCCATACTTTGGCACTTGGTGTTCATCTGCCTAGAAGCTCCTTGGCCCCAACTCTCCCTGGGGTTTTCCTGTTCCTCCTTAAAGGCTACAAGCAGAAAGCCCTCTGCTTGTTCCAGTGCTTCAGGTTTGTGGGGCAGTAAGGGATGTCTGTCTCCCTTTTCCTGTCTCAGCTTCATCTTCACACCTCCGCCACCTACCCTTTTGTCACCCTGTCACCTCTCTTATTGCTTCTGTGGGTTGGGGACTGTGTCTTCATCATTACAGCATTCTAAGCTCTAGCGCAGGAGTGACGCTGAACGAGTGCTAGGAGCGTTCGGGTGACTGGACGATGGGACGGTGCTGGTAGGAAGGAGGGTGGATATGTGAGGACATGGATGGGCAGATCACTCACCATGAAATCTGAAGCACTCAGCAAAGCATGTGACAGATGATGAGTGGCCATGGGGCTTAAGGAATGACTGTGAAGGTGCCTACAGGGTGTTTGTTTGGGAGCCCTGGCCATCCAGCCTTCATTCTGGTCCTTTTGCTCTGTGTGTTCTAGGATTGTTTATCACCTATGTGATGCTGAAGAGCCGAAGACTGACCAAGAAGGCTCAGTGAGGGTCCAGCAGGGATGAGGATACCAGCCTTCTCCATATCTCCTCCAGGGAAGGGACCAAGTGTCACATCCTGATACAGTCAGCCTGACTGCTGCAGTCCTCTTTAGGAGGTGGGGCTGCTTACAGCTCAACTCTGACAAACTGGAGCCCTCTCCTCTCTTATTCATCCTTCTGGAAGCCAAGAGGAACGTGGGTTGGGAAACCTCTCCCTCATGGCTTCGGGCTCAGGGCCTGAACATTGCTGGTCCTGTCCACCTCACAGTCAAAGCTCTCTGCCACTCCCACAAGGTTCTGCTCTCTTGCCTGTTTTTCCTCCTGTCATGTGCTGATAGATGCTGCAGGCTCCCCGTTTGTGTGCAGCCTCCCCTCGCCGTACAACCTATCTCTTCACATGGCAGCTCTTTTGAGTCTGACACTGTCCAGACTCCATGAGGACTTCTGCACCCAGAAAGCCCTAGTCCCAGCTGGCCTGTGTTTGGGAAAACTTACAAATAAATGTTGATCATGTTGGTGTTATGTCTCTGCCATCCTTGCTTCAGGGAGACTGGCTGGAGGAGGTTCAGAGATTGCCTAGTTGTGCAGTGAGGGTACCACAGGTCCAGCCTCTGTGCTGTCCCTATTCTAGACAGGGTAAATCGGGAACTGGGACAGATATGGTCCTGACTGGGTAAAAGTCACAGTTGGGGAGTCAACAGAAGCCTTAAGATCTTGTGTAGCCCAGGCTGGTACTAAACTATGTAGCTGAGGGTGACCTTGAACTTCTGATCTTTTCTGTCTCCATTTCCTCAGGGCTGGGACTCCAAGGTTAGGACACCACACCTGGGGTTTGAACCTATGGGCTCCAAGCTTGTTAGGCAATCATTCTTCCTACTAAGACACATCCCCAGCTTCTTGATTAGTACTTAAGGGGACTTAAGTATTTAAGTACTTAAGCACTTCTAGAAGCTTAAGCTTGAGTCCCTCACCCTGGCTCTCTTTCCCCATCTCTCATCTACACAACTGCACTCTCCTTTGCTCATACCCTCTCCAGCCACCTTTTGGATACAAAGCAACCATCTCTTCCTAAAAAAAGCGAGGGTCTCTCACTGGGCTTCCCCTACCAGTCTGGCTTCTGATTGCTTCTCAAAAATACATATTGGGCTGGAGAGATGTTTTAGCAGCTATTCCAGAGGACCAGAGTTCAGTCCTAGCACCCACATTAAGTGACTTCAACTGCCTGCAATTCCAGTTCCGGAGGACTTGACACTTGTAGATGCCACTGACACCCACACAAATGTGCACACAGACACACATACATAATTTTAAAGATGAATAAACAGTTTTTTAGCCAGCATATGTAAACATCTTTTTCATCTTCACTACTACCTTCCCTGTGGGTTGTCCTTCCCACCATCCCAAGGCTCTGCATGACAGGATCTCTAATTTCTACAGCCACTGTGGTCTCTTACTTGTGGGGAACACATCAAGTCCCTCTGCACCCCCTACTCCCATCATTCCAATCTATACTTTTCAAGCACCAGTTTGTGCTGGGCACTGAGGCAGGAATTGAGGTCCATGTGGTTCCTGCCCTGGTGGCACTCTCATTTTAAAAGGTTTGATGTAATAAACCAATACATGAGCAAGACAATCTCTGCTCATGTCAAGGGTGATGAGAACAAAGGTCATGTGACCCAGAGTGAGGAGGAAGTGCATAGAGTCCTGCAAGGTGGCAAGAAGGATCAAGGCAAGTAAAAGTCCAGTCAGACTTCTACTAGGGAGCCCAGGAAGTGGGAAGCCCAGAGGTGGAAGCTTGCAGCTGAGGCTCAGGGCAGGCAGGTGTTTGGAGTCAAGTCTAGAGTAGAGCAGATGGCCTGGGCCATGGTGAGGAGTTTGAATTCTGTTCCACTGCCAAGGAAAGTCACCGGAGGCTTAAAATACAAGGGTGACATCATCCCGTCTATGCTTTTAAAAGATCAGACTAGCAGCTGTATCCTTCCAGCTAGTTCACTACAAAATCTCTGGAGTCTGGCACTGCTCTGGCCCCCAGTGGGTGCTTCAATTCACACGAAAGAGTGTGCCGACTTCTATAAGACCTGGTGATAGACACTTCTTTCTATGCTTTTAGTTTCTTCACCTGAGAGACAGTCAATGGGAATTTCATGGCTACAAAGACCGGAAGAACACGATTTAGGCTACCTGCCTCCAGGGCCAGTACCAGAAAGGCACGTCCTTGGTTCAGAAGGAAATTGAGAAGAAAGCTTTCTCTCCGGCACCCCAACCAATACCCAGCGGCCCCGCCCGGCCAGGACCAGGGTCCGGAGGATGCTGCAGCAGCGGAGGTGGGGCCCGCAGGCAAACACCAGCGCCCCCCTCGCAGATCGGGAGCAACCGAGGCCAGGAAGCCTATTCTCCGGCACTCCCGCCAACGATCAGCGGCCCCGCCCGGCCAGGACCAGGGTCCTCAGGATGCTGCAGCCGCGGAGGTGGGACCTGTACGCAAAGGCCCGCGCTCCCCTCGCGGATTGGGCACAACCAGGACAGGATCTTCGCGATTGGCCAGTCGCAGTGCAGAGGTGGGGCCTGATTCCTGCATTGGGGCCTCGGGGACACAGCCAAAGCCAGAGAAGCTGCAGCTGGGGGCGATGGCCGCTCCAAGCCCTGGGCCCCGCGAGGTAGGTGCCGAGATGGAGCAGGGACAGAAGAGAGAAGGGTGAGTGAGCAGGTCCCGCCTTCCTCTTAGCCAGAGGCGTGGACACGCCCCCATCTCATCAGGGTGGGACTTTGCTCTGGAAAGATCAGGACACGCCCCACCTGGGCGCAGGTATGAAGGGGATGGGGATTAGGGGGTGCCTCCCCACCCAGGTCTTCCTCAGTTTCCTCATCAGGGAAATGAGGATGATAAGCTCTTCCATACGGCTGTTAAGAGCTCAAGCACTCAGCTTTGAGCACATAATGGGTCTCCAGTAGCAATGGGTCAACTGGTCTGACTTCTGCATCCATTTGACCCTTCTTGCTGGCACAGAAGAACACAGCACAGAGGAGAGAATAGGGGTCACTGAATCTCCTAGCATCCTAGCACCTGCTGGCTAGGCTTCCTTTGAAGGCAGCTCAGACACAACAGTAGCAGATAGTAACAGGCCTTACATGTTACAGAGGGAAAAATAAGGCACCTGACTGACCTAAGGTAGCCTCCGAGGGCCAGTCAGACTCAACTGGACTTGACTACAAGAAGGCATGCTGTGGAGTGGATGCAGGGTGGGAAATGAATAGGTTCAATATACATGATGTAAAAGCACATAGAATAAATTTAAAAAGTGAAAAAAGAAGGAAGGCATGCTCTGTCTACACCCTATTTGGATACCACGTGCCAGGTGCCTGGGGAGTGGCTCTAGCACTATCCCTATGTTTTATGGCCAAGGAAAGTGGAGCCGATAAAGACAGAGGGAAGATTCCCGGTTAGTGGAAGTAGCATTTGAACCTGTGCACTTCCCTTTCAGAGCCCTCACCATGTGCTCTTTGTTTCCTGTGCCTCTTCTTCCCATCAGATCCCCGCCCCTTCCCTGGAGGTTGGAAGCAGGGCGGTTGTCCCAGGGGATCGCCGAGGCCTCTTGTGGCGTGGCCTTCGAGACAAGCACAATCGAGTGGGCCTGTTTGAGATCAATCCAGGGCATGAGCTGCACAGGATGACACGCATGATGCAGGAAGGGCTGTGGGCTGCCACCGAGGTCTTCAAGGAGAACCCACCCAAGGTGAACTCCATCCCATGCACCTCAAACTCCAAGAGGGATGGAGACCCGGCTGGCTATCCGTCTCCCTAATACTGTGACTCTGGGGGTCAGAGAGACCTACCAAAAAGAGGGAGGCAGGAAATGTGTCAGGAAGCAGAAATTCTGGGGTGGGAAACTGGAAAGCGTAGGAGGTGTAAGGGACTCCCTGCTTCAAGTGGTGGATGTGTGCTTCAGGTGGGCCTCTCTTTCTCTAGGTCTCAGTATCCCCATCTGTATAATGGGTAGAGGGGTTACTACCCCCAGGTTGCTGAGGCTCCTGGGCCCTGCCAGCTTATATGGTTAAGAAGGGACCCCACCTCCACCCAGCTTTACCCAGCCAATCCTCTCTGGAGCTCTCCGGCTGGGGCCCACGCTGGCTCAGCAGAAAGTGTAACCTAACTGCCAGCTCAGCAATCCAGTAGACGGGTGAGCCTGTATGTTGTCTGTGTGCGCACACACGTGCACAGTCCAACCGCCATATCTGGAGGCAATTCCCTGGACCACAGCCTGACCTCATCACCTGCAAAAATCTCCTATGGTCCCTTGGGACTAAGTACAGCTCAAAGATGCTGTTGTTGGCCGGGCTGGCTGTCCAGTCTCACCCACACACTTCTTGGCTCCAAACACTTGAACCCTCTTACTCTGCCCCTGACTACCAGTGCTGAGGACCCTGTTTCTCCAGTCCATCTCCCTTCAGATTTCTGCTCGATACCCCAGTCAGCCTTCTCCAGTCTGGCTCTCACAGGCTACCCCTGGCAGATCACTTGGCTTCAGGGGCCTTTCCTTTCTCTGGGATGAGTGTTTGAAAGCATGTATCAGACTTGAACTCACACCCCTGAACACTCAGGGGTGGGCGATAAGACACATCCATGGGGCCCTGCCTCTCAGGTCACACCCATCCTTCCTCCAACCCTGGGTGAGCCAGAAACCCAGCTGCCCAACTCAGGCTGACAAGACTCCTCGGTCGGGTCCCTGTTTGCTAAAGTAATGGACAAGGTCAAGTGTTGTATTCCCAATCTCTGGGTAGGCCATGGCAGACCCTGAGTTTCTCTGAACCCCTCCACCCACCTCTGCAGGGACCTCCCACCCAGAAGGATTTCTCGGAAGTCATGACCCAGGTTCACGAAGAGGTAAGGAGCCCAGAAGGAATTGTCTGCCTTGGCCCCCTCTTCCTCATCTGTGAGTGGGAGCGATTCTTGTTCCCAGGACCTTGCTGGGTCCTACTTCTTCCAAAGCAGGGGCAGCTTCATACACTGGGACCCGCGTGGATGGACTCCCTTGGGGCTGCTTTCTCCCCTACAGGGCTTCGAGCTGTGCACCCTGGCTGGCCCAGCTTTTGCTCGCCTGAGGCGATACCTAGGCCTAACTGAAGAGGACTATCAGGCTACTCTGGGCCCCCGTGGCCCCTACCTTCAATTTCTCAGCACTTCCAAGAGCAAAGCCAGCTTCTTCCTGTCGTGAGCTTGAAGCAGGGGTGGGGCTGGGTGGGGACTCGGTTCCAGGCTGGCGGGACGGCCAAAGGCAGAGAGGGTCAGGGTCAGATGAAGGTGGGATGAAGTGAGGGAGAGTGGCCAGACACATCCATTCTCGTGCAAAACTAGGGGCAAGAAAGAGACCGCTCGGAACGGCTCCCGTCAAACCTGGACAGTGACTGCTCTTTCTCACCCGCAGTCACGACCAGCGCTTCTTTCTAAAGACCCAGAGACGCCACGAAGTGCAGGTGCTCCTCGCCCACCTGCCCCGCTATGTGCAGCACCTTCTTCGGCACCCACACACGCTGCTGGCACGGTTGCTGGGTACGCACGCGGCTTGGGGCGGGGGGTCAACATCTAAGTGCCTGGGGAGGGCGGGTTCTGGGAACGGGGCGGATCCTGGGGCGGGGTCCAAAGTGGCTGATTTGGGCCTGTGTTTCAGGTGGGACAGCACTGACTCAGAAGGGACACAGATTCAGAAGGGAGTCTGGGGGGGCGGGACTGGAGTGACAGGCCCAGGTATGAGGTGGGTCTTGAGAAAGATGCGCCGCCTGGAGCAGGGAACTCCGGTCACATGGATCCGTGATTGTGGAGTTAGAGGCCTTCATCTGGTGCCTTCTCCTCTTTCAGGAGTGCACAGTCTGCGGGTGGCTCAAGGGAAAAAGGTGGGTGTGGCAGAGGTGAGGTGGCTCAGCAGTGGGGGCTGCTGGAGGGTGAGGTCCGTGCCCCCCTCACTCCCCACTCCTGTCCCCAGAAGTACTTCATCATCATGCAGAGCGTCTTCTACCCTGTCAGCCGCATCTCTGAGAGGTGAGTCCATCTGGAACGGGTCCAGGTTCCGGTTCCACAGGGAAAGTGCAGTCTGAGACCGTTAGACTGCCAAATAGGCTCAGGAAGAACTGATCCTCCCAAGACCCAGTAGGTGGGAGGCACTTCTTTTAAAAATGTGTTGAGTTGTTTGCATTCTTTTATCTTTTAAGGGGCTGGCACTGGGACAGAACCCAGTGTTTTGTACATGCTAGACTCACCACTGAGCTACATCTCTCTCTAGGTCTTTTTTGTTTGTTTGTTTGTTTAATTTTTAGTTTGAAACAGTCTCCATAGTCCAGGTTAGCCTCCAACTTCTCATCCTCTTGCCTTGTCTCCCCATTACTGGGATTACAGCCCACCACATTGTACTAGCCATCTTCATTTTATAGTCGGGAAACGGAGGAAGTCTAATAGGATCAGAGAACAAGACAGGTAAGATGGTTCAGTCAGTAAAGCCACTTTCAGGCAAGCCTGAGGACCTGAGTTCAATCCCCAGGACCCATATGGTGGAAAGCAATAACCAACTCTTTCTAGTCACTTACAGGACCATGCACTCACACATGCACATAGAAATCAATAAATGGCCTGGTGGTGGCACACACCTTTAATCCCAGCACTTGGAAGACAGAGTCAGGCAAATCTCTGTAAATTCAAGGCCAGCCTGGTCTTCAAAGCAAGTTCCAGAACAGCCAGGACTGTTACACAGAGAAACCCTGTCTCAGAAAAGTAAAAATAAAATAAAATAAAAACCCCAAAATAAAAGAAGAAATAAATGTAGTTAAAATTGGAGAGCTGGTGGGGTCCTCTCCTGGAAGACAAGGTACTAAGAAACAGGCAAGGTAGGACTCACACCTAGGTTGGACTTGCAAAGGTCTGAGTTCAGATCCTTGTTCTGTTCCTTACTGTGACACAGGCAAGATAAAGGAATGCTTGAGTCTCTATTTCTCCATCTCTAACATGGGGACACAGACTAGGGGGGTGCTGAGGTTTAGCGGTGTCATCCATAGTGATTTAAACCACATAGGAACAGTCACATCTGGGAAGCTCTTGCTTCCAATGGTTTCTGTGTGTACCCCACCTCTCAGGTATGACATCAAGGCCTGCGAGCAGAGCCGATGGGTGGAGCCAGTCCCCGAGGGCAGCCCCCTTCTCCTGGTGCTGAAGGACCTCAACTTTGAGGGAAAGACCATTCGCCTGGGTGAGTCACATGCTTCTTTTCCTCCATTCAGGGTGAGGTTTGGAAGGGGGGGGGTCCCTAGTACTGCCCTTTGCCCAAATTCTTAGCAGCCCAGGATTCAAACCTGTGTTCCAGATTTACACAACTGGGGGTACAAGGCAAATCATAGGATGGGGATGGCCATGACATTCATACTTTGGGGGCAAGTGCAGGTGCAGTGAACACATGATGAGGACTCAGGCAGGGTCTGGTGCTCTCACAGGGTCCCAGCGGAGCTGGTTCCTCCGCCAGCTAGAGCTGGACACCACCTTCCTGCGGGACCTGAATGTGCTGGACTACAGTCTCCTGGTGGCCTTTCAGCTTCTCCACGAAGACGAAAAGGACCGGTTCAGCATTTTCCGCACTTTCAGGTGAGCATTGCCTCCTGGTGCAATGGTGAGGGCAGGTGTGGAAAGATAGTCAGTGAAGGTGTAAGACTGCCTCCCCCCTGGTGGCATGGCACGGGCTTGAAGGCCGGGAAGCACTGTGTGTGTGTGTGTGTGTGTGTGTGTGTGTGTGTGTGTGTGAGTAGCGTGGCTGCTGGGGGACAGAACTGAAGGAGTCTCACCTGGACAAAGCCTTTTAATGATGTTTTGAGTAGTCTGCCTATTTTCTGACAGAACAGATGGGGCCAACAGAGGTTTCTGAACAGGGACAAGACCCGTCTAGTTTTGTGCCCTCTTACCCAGTCTAGACCCCTGAAGTTATCACCACTGGCATCATCGTGTGCTGTGTAGAAGTAACTGTCACTCCATCCATGTAGAATGTGACCCCCACTGAGACCATGAACTGTTTCTCACTTTCAAATGTGACAATCAAGCTCAGAGCAGGTGTGGGAAGTCAAAGGGCTTCTATTCTGATAGCAGTTCCCAAGGCTCACCTGGTGGTTGAATAGAAAGGTCATTTAAGAGGCCAAGCCTGCTAGATGTGGTCTTAAAGCAGGCCTTTAATCCCAGCACTGGGGGGCGAAGGGGGAAGGGGGCGCGGCAGAGGCAAGTGGAGCTCGGAGTGCAAGGTCAGCCTGGTCTACAGAGTGAGACCCTGTCTCAAATAACACCAACCTGGAACCCAAGCCCATTGGTCTATTGCACAGACGGGGGAAGGAAATGATGATACCCTCAGCTCTCTTCAGCTTCGATGCCTGCCCCATCTATGGCAGAGGCCTCGAGGGTGGAGGAATTTGAGTAGGATCCCCACACAGTCAGCCCAACCACTGTCTGGATCAGAGGGTGAAGGGGCATCCCCGGCTCAGATCTTTTTGTTTGTTTTTCGAGACAGGGTTTCTCTGTGTAGCTTTGGAGCCTATCCTGGCACTCGCTCTGGAGACCAGGCTGGCCTCGAACTCAGAGATCTGCCTGCCTCTGCCTCCCGAGTGCTGGGATTAAAGGCGTGCACCACCAACGCGGGCTCCGGCTCAGATCTTACCCACTGCTAATGTGTCAGGCTGAGCACTGCCAAGTCCCAGTTTGCATAGGATAGTCATGTTGAAATATTTCTCAATAGGCTCTTCGTCGCCGACCCACACCTCCCCAGCTTCCAGGTTAATTCTGCCCAGGCTCTTCTGCCACCCATTTTGATTGGTTGGTACTATGGTGGGTCTTGTCTCTCATTGGTTGTCTTTTCTCCAAGAGCCCGCCCTCAACACAGGAATAAAGCCCTAAAGCAGTGGTTCTCAACCTGTGGGTCTTAAACCACTTTGGGCTGCATACCAAATAGCCTACATATTAGATATTTACATTATGATTCACAAAGTAGCGAAATTATAGTTACAAAGTAACAACGAAAGTAATTTTATAATGGGGGGTCATCAAGACATGAGAACTGTATTAAAGGGTCGCAGCTTTAGGAAGGTTGAGAACCACTGCTCCATAGCGTCCCCTACAGGACAAGGTACAGAAATTGAATCTGCTTCTAAAAATATATTTAAAGGAGATCACAGGTCTACAAACTGTTCTCAGTTCTTCAGCTCTATGAGCCTAAGGTTTCTAGGATTAGACTACCCTCAAACAGGTTTAAGAGATATAAGATGAGGACCAGTTTGTGTGACCTAAATGACTGAGATTGGTCCTCCCCTCTTTGAAATACAGAATTAATTTTTTCCTGGTAGCCTCATTTATAAAGTTTAAAACAAAACAAAAACGCTGGGTAATGGTGGTACACACCTTTAATCCCAGCACTTAAGTGAGTTCAAGGCCAGCCTTGTCTACAGAGTGAGTTCCAGGACAGCCTGGACTGTTACACAGAGAAACCCTGTCTCAAAAACAAACAAAAAGGCTGGAGATGTAGCTCAGTTGTCAGTTAACCTAGTACACCAAGGCCTGGCGTGGTGACGCACACCTTTGATCCCAGTAATCAGGAGACAGGAAGCAGGCAGATCTCTGTGAGTTCAAGGTCAGCCTGGTCTACAAAGCTAGTTCTAGCACAGCCAGGTCTGTTACACAGATGAAAAATAATATTGATGGGGGTGGAGAGATGGCTCAATGGTTAAGAGCACTGACTGCAGCCAGGTGTTAGTGGCGCACGCCTTTAATCCCAGCACTTGGGAGGCAGAGGCAGGCGGACCTCTGTGAGTTCGAGGCCAGCCTGGTCTCCAGAGGGAGTGCCAGGAGTCGCTCCAAAGCTACACAGTGAAACCCTGTCTCGAAAAACCAAAAAAAGCCGGGTGTTGGTGGTGCACGTCTTTAATCCCAGCACTCGGGAGGCAGAGGCAGGCGAATCTCTGTGAGTTTGCGGCCAGCCTGGTCTCCAGAGGGAGTGCCAGGAGTCGCTCCAAAGCTACACAGAGAAACCCTGTCTCAGAAAAAAAAAAAAAAAAAAAGAGCACTGACTGCTCTTCCAGAGAACCCAGGTTCAATTCCCAGCACCCACATGGCAGCTCAGAACTTTAACTCCAGTTCCAGAGGACTTGACGCCCATGGCAAAACACTAATGAACATAAAATAATTAAATTAAAAAATATCTTAAATAATATTGAATTAATATATTTGATTATGCCATGTGTGGTGTGCAAGCCTTTAATCCCAGCACTTGGAGGCCAGAATTCCAGTGCCCTCCAGGACAGTCAGTGCTTTTACGCAGAGAAACTTTGTTTCAAAAATCCAAAAACAAAAAATTCTATTATTTTATTTCATCAACCAAGAAGACCATTTGCATTATTTTCATACTTCCATCTTAAAAGATTGTATTTTAAAATTACCAGTGTGTGTCGCTGGGTGTTGGTGGTGCACACCTTTGACCCCAGCACTGGGGAGGCAGAGGCAGGCAGACCTCTGTGAGTTCGAGGCCAGCCTGGTCTACAAGAACCAGTTCCAGGACAGCCTCCAAAGCCACAGAGAAACCCTGTCTCAGACCCCCCCCAAAAAAAATTACATGTGTGTAAACATGAGTGCACTGCCTGTGAAGGCCAGAAATGACGTTGGATCCCCTGGAGTTACAGGAGCAGGAGTTACCGGCAGTTTTGAGGTGCTGTTGGTGCATGCTGGGAGCTGAACTCTGGTCCTCTACAAGAGCCCCTCCGGCCTCTCAGTAGTGACTTTGAAGTTTAGTTTATATTAGAGCCTGATATTTCCCATGACTCTGGCTATGTTTCAAGGGCTCGACAGCCACTTGTGGCCGATACCTGACTGTCAGCTACACTGTTTCCTCAGCCTTCTAGCGTAGCTCACTGGCTGGGAGGGGACAGCTTTATCCTATTCCCACACCTAGGTCCGTACATGGTGCACCAAACACATGGGGAACGGAGGGCCAGAACCGCCGGCTGCTGCCCGACGTTCCCAACGCCCTCCATATCTTGGACGGGCCAGACCAACGTTATTTTCTGGGCTTGGTGGATCTGACCACTGTCTATGGGTTTCGCAAACGGCTGGAGCATTTGTGGAAGATGATGCGCTATCCAGGCCAGTCCTTCTCCACCGTCAGCCCGGCTCAGTACGCCCGTCGCCTCCGTCAGTGGGTGGAGACGCACACCCAGTGACTCCCACCTGTCTGCGTTCTCCTCATCTAGACAATGGGCATGTGCCCACCCGCAACAATTTTCCAGCAGTATCCAGGGAGCTAACCTGCAGTTCCTCCTATTAGCCACAGGAGGGTAGCATCCCCTAACTAATGCTGTAACTACTCCGCTCCATTCGGTGATGGTGCTGCGCCTTTTAAAGCAAGGATCCCTCACCCCCACCCCCTTAGCTCATTTACTATTAAAAATGTTGGTATTCTCTTTTTACAGACCGCGAAATGGAGGCTCACAGGGTGAAGGGGGTGAGAGAGACCATTCAGCAATAAATGCTGGAACCAGCCTGAGCCATGCCTTGTGCCTGGGAATTTACAGTCTTGGCCACCCAGCTCCTATAGTCCTAGCCTTATACTCTGGCGAAGGGGGAGAGTGGAGTCTCTACCCGCTTGTCCCAATGGGGGGAACTAGTCCAGGGGTTTTATGGTGCAGGTTAGGAGCAAGACCAGCCCTGGACACTAGGCCTCCCAATTCCCAGCTCTGATTAAGGCTCCACAGTGGCCCTCTAGGAGACAAGTGGGTAAAGATGAGGGAGGCAGAGGAAAGGCCTTCATGGAATTGGTGTGTGTGTGGGTCCTCAAAGGTCACTGTTGATCTTGAATGACAGGAAGTCTCAGTAGCTAGTCTGGTGATTTTGGAATAGCCTATAGAACCCCTAACCACCTCTTTTCCTTCTTCTGGGAAACCAACATGGCCTGTGACTCCAATCTGATTCAATTTTGCTCAATGGCCTTTTCTTCCAAAGTGTTCTAGAGCTTGCTGTTTTTTAGGGCATGGTGCTAACCCCCTGTGCCTCTGTAGTCTAATGTGTGAATAGAAAGCACACACACAACCCTCAGGAACACATTGACACTGCCTGGACAGCTATCCTACAATAGGTGCTCTCCTGGGATACATAGATCTAGGGAGAAGCCTGGGGTCAAAGTCCTGGAGAAATGAACCATTACCAAATCACCTCACTGGTGGTCAGGAGGAACAGACCTTAACTTCTGAGACCAGAAGGGTTACACGTGTCCCTGTTGGGTCCCAGGCCAAGGGCACAGTGACGGACCTGAAACTTGGGAGAAAAGAAACATCTGTGATGGATGATTGTAATAGAGTCCTCAAGAGCCCTGAAAAAGGGGAGGTCAGGTATTTGTTGGGGAGTCACTCTCGAATGACAATTAAGGTAGGGAACTGCCATGGTCTTCTGCTGAAAGCTGTGATTTGATGTGCCACCACCATCCAAGAGAGTGAGAACAAGCTTCTGCTCCCCCTTATCTGTTCACATGTAGCACTGAGACCACACCTTAATGGGTCAGTACCCTATTGGCTGAATGAGTTCCCACAACAATTCCCCTTTTTATCTAAATCAGAGGGTTCTAAACCTAATACATAACTATATACAATAAGAGCAAGTATTGTCCAGGAGAAAGAAAAGGTTAAAAAACAAAAAAACATACACTTAGAACTATAATCAACAGCATCAAGCAAGAAACACACACTAAATGCTCAGGCTGTAGGTAATTGGCAAATAACAGAGATTATTCCAATAGCTGTCCTATGCTGAGGAGACTAAGTCTTGTACCTAAAATGCCTTAGCTAAGATACAAGAGGATAGTGACTGTGACTTATCTAGTCTTCAACCCCATCAAAGACCTGAGAAGGAAAATATTACCTGAGTAAGCAAGAAGTGTAAGCAGGTGACTTCCAAAAGGTGCAAGAAATGACAGAAACAGCTGGCTGCCTGGACAGTCTCCCAAGGTCTCACGGTAACATAGGGGCAACCAACTTTGGCTAAGGCCTAGACTATCTAACAGACCATATTTAGAAGAAGGAAGATTCGAAAGACTGTCTTATCCTGACTTGGCAAGGTTTAGCAGTTGCTTAGCTTGTATCCTGCTTGTCCAGTTTGGACAGTGTGCCTACTGTCATCAAGAAGTAGCGTTGTGGGGCTGTGGGGGTGAGGGATACCCCCCAAGACTGGCCAGGCAGGACCCTGGAAATGCCTCTCAATAACTGTTCTGCTGACCCATCAGATATGGCCAGACTTTGAAAAGTGACTGGTGGGAGAGGGCAGGGAGGGGAGAGCACAAGAGGCTGGCTTCATTGGAACATTCCAGGAATTGGCACTTTTCAAAAAGACACGTGGCTGTTCTGGGCGTTCTTAGATGATTATTACTCTGTGCTGGCACAGCTGCAGGGATTTCCTCTTGGTTGGCAGGAAGTTGAGAAATAATGTTCGGCTTCTGCTGCCACCCAGAGGTGTCCACACAGGAACGTAGGAAGGTAGCAGGTGCCAGACTCAGACCTGGGACCTGCTGCCACATCTGGGGTCTGACTCCCATGGGATTGAGCTTGATCTCAGAGCCCTGAAGTCACATACAAAGGTGACAACCACCCTTCTGGCAGGGAACCTTGACAAGGCCTGAGGCTGAGAGGGAAGTCACTGCAGAGACCCAGGACGGCTGGCTCTCCTGCCTTGTTATTTTTTTGAGTGGGTGCTGTGGGTGACTGAGAACATCACACACACAGCTGAGTCTAACAGTACATGTGCATGAGAACAGAGGAATGATTCACAGAGTGACTTCACGGTGCACAGCTGGGGAGTGGGGTGGGGTGGCTAATGCCTGTAACCCCAGCATTTGTGGAGCTGAGCAGGGTCCCAGACTAGCCTGGAGTGTGCTGGTGGGTTTTCAAATCAACACAGAGGAGGGTCATCTGGGAAGGGGAAACCTCAGTTGAGGAACTGCCTCTATCATAGACCTATAGGCATGTCTTTGGGGGGCCTTTCTTCCTTCTCCCTTCCTTCTTTCCTTCCTTCCTTCCCTCCCTCCCTCTCCTCCTGTTCCTGCTCCTCCTCCTCCTCCTCCTCCTCCTCCTCCTTCTTCCTTCTTTTTTTTTGATTAATGGCTGATGTGGCAGGCCCAAGCCTCCCCTGGGCAGATGTTCCTGAGTGGTATAAGAAAGGTGGTTGATGCTGGGTGGTGGTGGAGCACAAGCCTCTGATCCCAGCACTCAGGAGACAGAGACAGGCGGATCTCTGTGAGTTCAAGGTCAGCCTGGTCTACAGATCTAGTTTCAGGACAGTCATGGCTGTTACACAGAGAAACCCTGTCTCAAAAATCAAAATGAGAGAGAGAGAGAGAGAGAGAGAGAGAGAGAGAGAGAGAGAGAGAATGGTGGTTGAATGTGAACCTGAGGAGAAAGCCAGTGAGCAGCACTCCTCCATGACTTCTGCTTCAGTTCCTGCCTCCACGTTCTTGCCTTGAGTTCCTGCCCTGACTTAACCTCAGCAATGTGCTGCGATGTGGGAAGTATGAGCAGAAATAAACTTTTCTCCCCATGTTGCTTTTTGGTCATGGTGTTTGTCGAAGCAACAGAAAGCAGACTGGGATAGCTACATAGAAAGATCCTGTCTGGCTGGGCGTTGGTGGCGCACGCCTTTAATCCCAGCACTCGGGAGGCAGAGGCAGGCGGATCTCTGAGTTCCAGGCCAGCCTGGTCTACAGAGCAAGTGCCAGGATAGGCTCCAAAGCTACACAGAGAAACCCTGTCTCAAAGAAAGAAAAAAAGAAAGATCCTGTCTGAAATAATAAAATAAATTTGGGGTGTGCTGTTGGAAAGGGTGGTTGGCGAGGGTCCTGAGGAGTTGAGGTTTGAGCTGAGTGGCAAGGAGCCCCACAAGGCAGGTGACTGGAGCAGTCCAGGTAGAGTAGTGCAGCAAGTCAAGCCCCTGAGGTAGGAGTGAGCTGGGTGTGATCGCTCAGAAGGTGGCTTCGATGGACACCATTCTCATCCCCAGGGGTTCATAGGCCAGTGAGAGGACAGTGGGAACTCCAAAAAAACAAGCCAAAGTGCCTCTCTGGGACTACAGAATTTTCTGGTAGTGCCCTGAGCCACCTCTGCTCTTCATTACTAGGACAGGTTTATTTTTCCCACTTTACAGAGCGGGGTGGGGGGGAGGGGGAGGGGCTCAGGCAAAGGCTGCATTGACAAAATACAGAAAACCTATACTGAAAACAACCGGAGCCATTAATCCCAGCGCTCAACCATCTGTTTCAGCGAGCAGAGGCAGCCTGATCCTGGTAAATTCGAGGTCCGCCTGAAATATATGGGACTTAAAAACGAAAACATGTTTCAACATTGCCCATCGGAATTTCAGATTCAAATTCACATCTTGCACTTCATTTGCGCTGACAGCCCTACCAGTCTGAAAACCAGGGCTGCTTAACTCTTGCTTCATTTCCTGTCCGCCTGTCACTTCCCCGGCAGTTCCAGAAATGGAGAACCTCAAGTCTCCCCGGCCAGGCAGCCATTGCAGGGTGGCTCAGATCTGGAAATCTCTTCCTCTTTCTTTCATGCCCTTGGCACACAGAGTAGGGTGGGATGCCCCAGACGTCAAGACCTTGCCCCCTCCCCAACTCAGAGATCTCCGAAACTGCCACGCACCGCCCGCCCCCGATGCGTAGACCCCGCCCCCTGTGCCCAAAGCCTCCGCCCCTCCAGCAGGCCCCGCCCATGGCCCCGGGCTGCGCGACTCCATCCTCCATCCCGTGGAACCGCAGCACCGCCTCCCATCCGGGGCCAGTTCCAGGCCCTCTGGCCAGGCCCACCGGACATGGAGCTCCGAGCAGGGCACCGTGAGCCCCCGGTGCGCCCCAGCCTGCCCGTCTGGTTAGCGCCCAGCTTGGGGAGGGGACGGTGGAATCTAGCAGGGTGAAAAACTCCACATCCTGCCCGCCCCAGGCCTCTCCGCCCCGCGGTAGCGAGGTGGGATGGGTGGGGAAGAAATCTCTGCTCCTGTCTTTTTGCCTGCCTTTGACCAACTGGATGACCTTGAGCCGACAGCGCCTCTTCTGTCTATCCTCCATCTACACAATGGGGATTGGTTTGGCAGGGTCTCTGAACCCACATCTTTTAGGATGGGCACGTTGTCGCATGCTTGGAGACTTTAAGGCTGTTGGTTCCTGGGCCCATTTGCCTTGACCTGGATCTACCCTCTTCCCTTGCCTCAGTTTCCCTCATATCATAGGACCAGCTTCCAGCCCTTCCCATCCCAAGCTCTGGAGACAGCAGCCTCCAGATTGCTGAGGGCACAGACAGCATGAAGGCCCGGGTAAGTGACATGGAAGAAAGCTCACTGGGGATTTGGGGGCAACCTGAGCAGAGCTTCTCAGCCACTTTCCCATGCCAGGAGTTATAGTGATCCCCCCCCCCCACACACACACACACTTCTTTTGGTGTTGGGAATGGAACTCAGAGCCAGGCACACGCTAAACACATACCCTAACACAGAGTCCCACCCACAGCCTGGGTGGTTACCCCTGTGTTACCTGCTACCTCCCTGCTCTGGAGGCTGCCACCCCAGGCTACTGACTTCCCTTTTTGGTTTCACTTTGCTTTGATCACCTTGAAATGAAAGCAACGGTACAATGTCACTCAGTTGATGGAGTGAGATGGTGTGAAGGTTCAGGGCAGGGCCTCTCCCCTTGCATTTACTGGCGAGCCCCTTGAATGTTGGGGCAGGCAGATTAATTACTGCCTGAGTCAAGGTCTCTGCTCCCATGTGGGCAGGGGCCAGTTGCTATGCAGAGCCTGAGGCCTGGGGCTGTGAACCCTGTCTCCTGGACAGCTGGCCATACAGAGAAGATTTATTTTTAGAAGCTGGTGTGGCTTGTGAACAGACAAGGAAGGGTGGGCCCCTGGCAGGATTGCCAGGGGCTGCTCTGCACTTCTTGTTTTCTGGGCATACTGGCCAGCACCTAGCATTTCCTCTGGAATGGCCTTGGGCCTAGAAAATTGGTGCTCCGAGAGTTACAGGTATTGAGATGGATGGCCCAGCAGATGGTGACCTGGGGCATTGCTCCTCCAGAGCTTGCTGGGCACTTTGAGTGAGTATGGGGTGAGAGGGTCAGAGGGTCTCTTGCTGTGGCCATTGGTGTATCATGCTAGAGGTGGAAGTGGCTGAGCAGAAGCATTCCAACTATTGAAGGCATCTTCTGTTTTTTGTTTGTTCGTCTGTCTTGTTTGTTTGTTTGTCTGTCTTCGTGTTTTGAAACAGAGTCTCAGTCTGTAGCCCAGGCTAGCCTGGAACTCACTGTGTACCCCATGTTGGCCTCAAATTTGTAACAATCCTGCCTCAGGCAAGGGATGAGCTGTCATGCCTGGAGACATCTATCTAGTCTGTCTTATCTACTTATCTACATAATGGGTGGTTGTGAGGCATCCTACATGGGTTCTTGTGCAGGTGCAAAAAACGCTGTTGTCACCACTGAGCCTTCTGTCCACCCAGATCCTAGTCAAGGTGACACACTGGGGGCAGGGTGACACTGCCAGCTGGGGGCAGGGTGATGGAGGTGATGGAGGTGATGGAGGGGCAACACTGGCCTGGGCTGAAGGCCATTGAGATAGAGACTCCAGACTGCAGAGTGTATCTGGGTATTAGGTGAGAATTTGGGTTCTGCAATTTGGGTTTAAGACCCCAGCCTGTACCCCGAACCCTTGCTGTGTGGTTTTGAGCAGTGTGTCGGCTTCATCCCAAGTGGATGTCCTGACTTGGAAGAAGGAATTTGGGGGGCTATCTGTAGTTTCAAAGGCCAAGAGCTAGTCATCCCTGAAGAAGGCCTTATCAATGGAGATTGAATTCTACTGAAGAGGTTCTACACGGGGAGGCTGTGGGCTATACACAAGTACCCCACAGGCCCATCACCGCTGTCTCTTTCAGGGTCGCCTTCTGCTCCTCATACTGTGCACCTTGACATTCTCCGCTGTCTACATCTTCCTGTGCTATTGGGCCTGCCTGCCCCTCTGCCTGGCTACCTGCCTGGACCCCCACCTCCCTTTGGCACCCAGACCCACTGTGCCAGGGCCCCTGCACTTCAGTGGCTACAGCAGCGTGCCAGATGGGAAGGTGAGTCAGCCAGGAAATGCAAAGGTGGCCAGAGTGTCCCATCTCTAGGAAGCAATGAGACCTGGGCTGGTGGCAAGCCAGCCTACACTCTGAGCTTGGCTTCCCTGCTCACCAGCTCTGTGCCTGCTGCCAGTCACTGCTCCTCTCTGAGCTCTCAAGGTGTAGGAGGAAATAGGGTTTGCACTGAGCAGATATGGCCTGGCTCCTCCCAGCTGTATGCTGGGATGAAAGGGTGGCTGGCCACTTGGGACTGCCATTGTGTGTCTGTGTATACTGTGTATCTTTAGACTTCTGTGTCTCCACACTGTATGCTCAGCAGGCATGGCTGGTTTCCTGCAGTGTTTGGCATTGTGTGGCAGCTGAGGATAAAGGGCCAACATAGACTGAGGTTATATATGATCCCAGGGCTCACAAGATGAGCCATGGCTCCTGTCCCCATAGTTGCTCTACCTGATATGGCAAGGGGGCATTCTCATCTTTGACCCTGATATCAGAGACCCTATATGTCATGTTTCACATTTAACAGCTGCCTATGCCATCCGGTCTAGTTTTTGGCACTAAAATTCTGGTTCTTAGTTAGGTGGCTCTTAGCCTTAGGGGCACGCTCTGGCTTGCTGGAGACACGTGGTCCCTCATCCCTTCAGTCTCAGCCACCTCCTCATCTATGAAGGACCATTCAAGCCATTCTTGCCTATGTTGGGCTGCTTTGAGGAGTCAAGGGTGACTGGCAGACCGTGCCCAGCACAGCTGCCATGGGACTATTTGATGAAGAGATGAAAATACCTGGGCTGGGCTGGGCTGGGCTGGGACTGTAGCTCAGTCTAGCGTGTCACTTTTGAGCAAGGATGGGTGTTAGGTTCAATTCCTAAGACCAAAAACCAAACCAAAGCAAAGCAAAAAAACTCCTGGGGGTGTGAACTCTGCACTCCCCAAGAATGGCCAGGTGGGACAAATGCCAGGGTGTGCTGGGTGGACCCTGTGCAATCTGTCATAATGTGACCAGAGTTAGCCACTTTGGCCGTCACAGAACTTGTGTGTGTGTGTGTGTGTGTGTGTGTGTGTGTGGTGTGTGTGTGGTGTGTGTGTGTGTGTGTGTGTGATATGTGTGTGTAGAGGTCAATTTTGGGTGTTGTTTCTCGGGCATTGTCCACCTTTACTTATTTATTTTTTTATTTTTTGAAATAGGCTCTCCCATTGCCTGGAATTAAGTTAGCTAGACTGGCCAGTGAACCTTAGGGGTCTACCTATTTCTGCTTCTATAGTGCTGGGAAGTTCATACACTCACCCTTCCTCGCCCTTTTCCCCCCTCCTTCCTTCTCCCCCTCCTTCCCTTCCTTATACAGGGTCTGGAGATTGAACTCGGGTCCTTATTTCATCCCTGATTGCTTTCCTCAGCTTCCATTTGTTTTTTTTAAGTGGGAAATCCAGATATTGAACGTCAACAGGGATACTTTTACACACTTGTAAGAGTGAGGGCCAGTGCAAGGACACTTGATGGGGCCATTGGTGACTAGGATCAGAATAGACATCTCCCAATTGCTAAGACAGCCTCAGGCTGACAGCACAACAAGGAAGTCTTTTTGTTGTTTTTTGTTTGTTTGTTTGTTTTCTGCTTTTTTCAGAGAGGGTCTCACATAGCCCTGGCTGGCCTGGACCCTGCTGTGTGGCTGTGTGACTGATCCTCCTGCCACATGCCCAAGTGCTGGGATCATAGGCTTGCCCGACCCTGCCTGGTTCAGAACTTTTTTTTTTTTTAACACTGTGGTACAGAAAATATGAGTCCTTAAATCAACATTTTATCAAATAAAAAACGTACCTGAGGGGATTTCACAATGTCTTTTATTGAGTGGAATTAATGACCCTGTATCTTTCACAGCCTCTATAAACTTGAGTTCCTCCAGGTGAGGGCCCAGCCTTACCGTGGGAGCCCTGACATTGTTTACCTCTAACAAATTGGAGACAGTGGCCCTTCCTGAGCCTGTGGTCTATGTGGTGGCTCACATCTGTCACCCCAGCACTTGAGTTCCATGTCAGTCTCTATATAATAAGACCCTATCTCAGAAGAGGTGGGGCAGGATTTGAGAAATGGCTCAGTTGTAAAGTGTGTGCCGTGCAAGTGTAAGGAGTGGAGTGTGGACCCCCAGGACCCACAAAAAGCTAGGTCGGCATGGTAGCTTGCTGTAATACCTTCTTTGGGAAAGCAGAGGTGGGATCCTCCAGGGTAAGATAGTTAGCCAGATTAGCTAATAAAGCAGGGTTCTCAGTGTGTTGCCATTGAGACCCTGTTTCAATCAATATACGTGGTGGAGAATGACCAAAAAAGACACAGGCAAGCACACATAAAAGTAAACAGTCTACTTTATTGAACTGTATGAATTTGTAAAAGAATTACCAATTATTCATATGAAGTTCAATAGAGCTTTTTGTTATAGACAGAGTCTTACTATATAGCCCTGGCTGGCCTGGAACTCACTCTGTAGACCAGGCTTACCTTGAACTCAAAGAGATCCACCTGCCTCTGCCTCCCAAGTGCTGGGACTAAAGGTGTGCGCCACCACTGCCAGACAGTGAGTTTTGACAGAAGTAGGAGAACATGAATAGCCCTCACCATGGTGACATAGAACTTTTCTGTCACTCCCAAAAGTTCTCTTATGCCCCTTTGCTAGGGCAGCCCTGAGGCATTTGTCCACTCCACTGTGTTCTAGCCTGCTGACTTTGGCAGCCTGTCCCCAAGACCATCCTGTGTCCCCACTCCTTATTTCCTGTGCTTTCTCTTGCATTCTCAAGAGGACCAGCTGATGTGTCCACACCCACTTCACAGATGAGAGGTGATATGCCCCCACCCTGGGCCATAGAGCTAGCAAGGGATGGAGCCAGGATTTAGGCTAGGAACCAGACCGCCAAAGCTGCCATGGGTTGGACATGGAAGACCCCTCTTACTGAAAACCCTCCTATTATAAACTCCATGCAGTATGGTTGGGCTTGGACAGGGCAGGGAGGGGTCTAGGAGGGCTCTGAAGAGCTGAGGTTAGTGTTTACTTAACAAACACCTGACTTCCAGCCTGAGCCAATGCCATTCTTAGTGCCTTATAAATATTTGCTCCTGTATCCTTAACAAGGTCCTAGTAATGTAGGGACTTTTTAAGGCCTTGGGAACAGCAGCAATGCTGGCTATAAGGAAGCTTGGAAGTCATTTTCACATGCCTGGCTTGCAAAGTAGGCAAACTTTGGTCTTTGGGGGCAAACCTGGTGGTTGCCACCTATAATCTGAGCATTTGTGAAGTTGAAACAGGAGAAATGCAACAAGTTCAAGACATACCTAAGCAACAAAGTGAGACTTTATATCACAAATGAAAACTGGGACCAGCCAGGTAGCCTAATGGATGAAAACACTCATTACAAAACCTGACGATGGGGCCAGAGAGAAGGCTCAGAGGTTAAGAGCACTGGATTGAGGAAGAACCAAGTGTCAACCTCTGACACCCACACACCCACCCCTGTGCACACACATATGCACATACACAAATTTTAAAAATGAAAACAAAAGGCAGGGCGTTGGTGGCGCACGCCTTTAATCCCAGCACTTGGGAGGCAGAAGCAGGCGGATTTCTGTGAGTTCGAGACCAGCCTGGTCTACAAGAGCGAGTTCCAGGACAGCCTCCAAAGCCACAGAGAAACCCTGCCTTGGAAA